AAAATATATATGCCTCCCCCCCCCCCCGCAAAATCTGTGCCTGGCCTTACTGGACCTTCTATACATTCAAATCTATACATTCACTCAGGTGATGGTTCAATAAGTATCACTAAATGGATCTCATAAATGTTTCTGGGCATTACAAGAAAAAATAATGAATTTATTGAACAATTATTTCCCACTAAAATAGTATATTGGGCTGTTGTGCAGTATTTTTATACATTTAATAATTAGTTTACAATAAGATGATAAAACGCTAGTGTAATAACCCTTTTGTAAAGCATCATCAATGCTGTCCATATTATCCTGTAGTTGACTGGTGTACGCTGTGCTATCTTCAAAAACATGTTTCGGTGCTGTCTGAAGTCTTTCAAGACGTTCTTGTTTTCTTCTCGCTTTCTCCTGGTCTCTTTCTGACTGCTTTGACAACCAATCTGCAATCCTGAATGAAATTGAAGGGACGAAAATTATTGTTACTGATGAATTATTTAGAAAAAAGATCGAATGGCTTCGTTTATACCATGGAGACGGACAATCCTTCAACATTGCAATAGTTGAAAAAAAAAATCATGGCTGATATTATCCTGATACATGTAGTTCATCTAATGCATAGATTGATCATTCATCAAGACAGGTATTTAGCCTTCCAATCATTCTATGGACAGCTACGTTTGAATTCAGATGGCTGGTTTTTGCTTTTTAATAGGCAGCCATGAACAGCCTAAGAAAATTATATCTTTAAACAGTCTGTGTCAGTGTCAGTAGTGCTAATAATAACAACACTTTGGTTGGTAGGGAATAGAGATGCAACTACCTGAAAAATACCTGAGATTTTTCAACTACCTGCAGTTGCATCCCTATCAACTAAAGTTTTGTTATCTTCAAACAGCAACTCACAAGCTTTGATATTTTTTGAATACCTCAAAAGTTACCAGCTGCTGTTTACTCTATTGCAAATGTTGTGATACTTTTTTGTAAAAAAGATGCTGAATTATGAGCATATCACAATTGATTTCAAGCGCCATGATTTTTATTGTATTATCCATGAAAATAGGTTGCCACATCAATGGTATTTCTTGGACAGTCAGTTTTGGACCCTGGCTAAAAGCCTGTACATCAGGATGAACAATCTAGTGGACAAACTTGCTAGAATTACAAGATCTATGGTGTCATGGATGGATTATCCATCAAGACAAATTACAAACACAAGTTTATCTTTAGATACAGACAAACACTTAACTACGCAGATAGTTCACCTTGATTGCTGATCTACCTGTTTGCATGTTTATAATACAGACAAATTATCAGACAAGTTATCTTGTTTTTCTCTGAATTTAATTGCCTGTTTTAAAACTTGCCAACTGTTCTCACTTTTTCTCATCATTCACATCTCGCATTCGTCTGCCGCTCAGATCTCGACAAGCTTCCCGATTGGTTGTTTTCTCAATTTGTGCGCCAATAGCACGGAGCATTGAACCAAAGCCACCTTTTCCCCCAGGAAGTCGGAGATGACATTGAACGAGAATGTCATTTTGATCTAAGCTGAGTTTTGATTGGTTTTCTAACAGAGAACCATTGTATGTGAGAAAGATGTCATCCTCTGAAATTCCCTGTAGAAAAAGGCAAAGAAACACATAGTAGAGGTGGTCTACTCAAGGCGTAAAAAAAACCCTGTGGTTCCGGTTCCCGACCGACACTATTTCTTCTGCCGACCCTATTATTTTTTCAACACGATTGACCGTGCAACCCTATTTTCTCCGGGTGGTTGCGGGCTGCTGCCAAAATGGCGTCTGTTGTCACACTAATTATTGAAAAAACCATGAAAAAAAATATTCCAAAAAAACTTATTTCTGACCTGCTGACCCTAATTGTTTTCGCGATATGAAACCGGAACCACAGGTATTTTTTTTACGCCCAACCCTAACTTTGTGACAGTTACGATCCGGTTTGACTAACTCACAGGCGTTTGTTGTGAGGGTTAGGGTGAATGTTGGGGTGTTATATTTAAGGTATCAGATAGCAAGCTTATTGACATCACCTGCAACAGCCGCCTGTGAGGTAGTCAAACCTGTTACAATCATATTGAGGTGGCTGATAATAGTGTTGATGTATCTTGTCCCTTAATTATGACATCAACATTTCTTACTTGAAATAACGAACAGCAATCTATGCATTTGGTGATCCTAAATAAGAAGGACTGTTGTCACCTTAATTAACGGCTCATTGCTGTATGCATGTTGATGGAATAGTATTTCAGGAATAGTATCTCTTTGGCTTAATTTTGGAACATGACCACAGTATGCCTTGATCACCCTTGAATGGCTGAATTTGTTTAACATTAAAAATATTTACTAAAAATCAAATATATAAAATAATACTTCTTCATAAAGCTATGTGATACAGACACTGTTACTAGGCCTGTAAACTTCACAATTGTAGATCAAAGAAGTATTTATATTGAGACTGTATAAAATATATACGATTTAAATTTACTGGTTTGGAAATCATTCGATCTAACCTTTGTTTCACATATTTGTCGCTTTATATCGAGTCCTGAACAATCCTGTTGTTCGTCAAAACTCAATACACTCCACCGTTGGTTGAAAATCTTTATAAAAACAACCATTTTCCTCAAAATTTTCACGAAAATCAACTGAAGATATATCGAAGTAAACAAATTCATCAACGGACAATGAACGTTTTCCGGGGGGGAAGGGGGGAGGGGGGGGGGGAGGGAGAGGAATAATTGTCTGTGATTGCGTGGGAATCGCGTGGGCTTCGAGATTTTTGCGTGGTAATTTAAGGAGCGAAGTTTTTGGGCCTTTGCATAACAATAGTGCATCCAGTCACAATCACAATCCAGTCATGGGAATATTCCATTGTCATTCATTGTTTTGGAAATCCCACTGTTCTCCCATGTCGTTCAATATTATTGTTCTGGCTTATACTGTACAGGGTGTCCCAAAAAACCCAAAACTATTGAAATAATGTATTGTTAGAATTTGAATGTCTCAGCACTCTGCTGAACCCACAAGTTCATAAAAGCTTGACATAAGTAAATTTTATGCATAAAGAAACTGTTTAAGAAGCTGCTTGAATTCCCAAGAGCGGAAAATCGTGCGCTTTTTACAAAGATATTTTAATTTCTTAATACGTCAATATTTATAATATATGCACCCCGTCAATATTTTACGCACCTTTGCGGTCAGCTTAGCGCTAAGGCATTGAAATTCTAACAATACGTTATTTCAATAGTTTTGGTAATTGGGACACCCCGTAGGACTGTGATAAAAATAACAGGCTTAATATACTGCATGTCTTTCTTTTGGTCGTCCTAACTAGTTGAAAACGACAATCAAAAGCTCGCTTGAGTGACCAGGAAACAATATTCAAGTACATTCCCCGTTCTTGTTACTTGAACTCGGCCAAACAAAGGATTCTCAGACGATGCTCGTAATGTTATTACGAGCATTGAAATGACAAAATGCAAACTGGAAATGCAACGAAGTGTAGGATAATTCGATAAAACTACAAGCAATTAGTTCAAGCCAATGCTCGAGACTTTTAGAATAAACTAAGGCGAAACAAAAGCATTCAAAACAAAATTCTTTATGTTTATTTTTTCAAAGCACAGAGGAAATGTTTTCTTTTGTATTACCGCTTTTGTATTTCCTATTTTTATGCAATGAACTGTAAGAGGGTAAAACACTTCCTCAAATTCAAACTAGTTTCTCACTGGTTGTTTAGGAGGTTACAAGCGATTTACCAGGTTGTTATCTAGCCTAAAATCCTTTATTTAAGGAAGGTTTACTGACTTCTGAGTTGAATATATATTCACAATTGTGATATGGCTAACGTTGTTACCGCATCTGACTGGTTGGAGCATAAAGCAAGACGAAATTATATAGACTACACTTCGAGTGGAACAAAAGACAGGAAGGCCGCAGTGTTTAAGAAAAACATGCCGAATAACTATATTAACTCGACGGGCAAACGTGACCAAATTGTGAAAACCACAAGTGGAGACAAGCATTATGGTGGTGTGAAGAAAGCAAAATATCCCTCTACTTTCAAACAACCGTTCTTGTACGACACCCTTATAGCGATGGCGATACGAAATTCACCACTACAAGCACTAAACGTGGCCCAAATTCATGCATATATAGCAGAAATTTATCCCTACTTTAAAGCATGCCCGGGTAGTTTAAAGGCGAACATTATAAGGACTCTGTCTAGCTCTAGTTGTTTCAAAAAGCTGGGAGAACCGTGTGAACAATACTGGACCTTAACAAGTAAAACCGGCACGTGTGTCACAGAAGAGCCTAGACGCTTAGCGACCACAGAAAGGGCCTTGATAACGATTGACAGCTTGCCTACAACTTCTAGCAAGAACTATACACCCCATTTACAGCCTACTCCTGTTTCGAGTATCACTGTATCAAAAACGCGTGCCAAATTTACACACAGGAACCACTTCAACCACGGCATAGGAAAAAATGCAGACAATGGCTTAAAACGAACTGGTAGCCTATCTGAAAAAAGCTATTCGCAGGTAACCGTGTCTACCACTAACTATACACCGTATTCCCAGTGTATTGCTATGCACCCTCCATCTACTGCCTATTCGCGGGCTACGGTTTCTAGAACACCGCTTTCACAGCCTACTTCTGTTGGTCTATCTCCTGCCCATTCGCAGGCTACAGTTTCTGCATATGTTTCTACAACACCCAATTCCCAACCTGGCATCCCATATACCGTCCATTGGCCGGCAAATTATAGACAAACTGGTCTCACTCATGACGACAAATTAAGACATTATATCCACAATAGTCCATTATATCCAAGAGTGCCTGTAATTACCCCTACTACAGGTCAAGGACAGCTGGACGAATCGGGGATCAAAATTGGTCACGTTTTTTCGCTTAGCCCACAAACGTCAACGGTTTTATCAGCACAGGAACGATTGCGAACCAAAGTTATCCCTTATCATCCCTGCACGTTTTGGAGCTATGGTACCCATAATTCACCCGCTCTATCCAGTTTTGTATCTGAAGATAAAGAACGTTATGAAGACGCTTAGTGCGCAACCTGTACCTATAGCCTGGGCACGAGATTGTTTAGTACAGTAATTTTATTCGAGGTTTTACAATTTTAATATTTATAGTTAAGTCCAGTTTTTTGTTAAATTTTATTCCAAGCTGTAACATAATCAAGCGTAGTTCTATTTATCTAATATTTTTTCTGAATAAAGTCAATTTTAAATTTCAAGTTCATTAATCATGATAAAACATATCAGCATCGTATGCTTTGTCTTGATACGACGGTGCTAGTTCTTTTTAAAAATCATATCATTCACTCGATGTCATGTGTTTTAGCGATTTTAATTAAACACAATGGTGTCTTTGAATGTTATTTATAAGCTAGAATTCAAGCTAACTGTCAATATATAATATTGTATTAATATCAAACATTTAAAATATTCATTAAAAATTCATAAACCTTGTGCATGGCAAATCATGTCCGCCATAATATGTCACGTGGAGTGACTTTATACAGGGTGTCTCAAAAAAACCGCTACCCTTAGAAATTCACCATTGCTCTAATTTGAATGCCTGAACCTTGTTGAAGCCATGAATGCGTAAACATTTTCACAGGATGCATATATTAAAGATCTTCGGAATTAAAATATCCTTGAAAAGCGAAATTTTTTATCCTGGGAATTGAAAATAGGTTCATACAAAAGTATAACTGCACGAAAATCGTTCAATTACATATTAGTGAATGTCAAGCAAATGGCTCAACTGAGCACAGAGCAAAGAGTATTTATTGACTCTTTATTGTCTTAAATTACCCATGAGTTCAAGATAGCACTCAGGCATTCAAATTAGAACAATGGTGAATTTCCAAGGGTAGCGGTTTTTTTTAGACACCCTGTATATGATAAAACTCATCTTCATTAGTATTCTTTATATAATTGTTCATCCTAATTAGTATTCTTTTGTAGTCGTATTTTGAGCTATTCAAAACACGAGTAGGAGTGTTTTATCAGATATAAAACTCGTGTTTTAAATAGTACGTATAAGTATAAGTATGCTGTTTTACAACAATGCAACAAGCCGTCAACAAGTTGTATTCGCCTGCTTGTTCCAAGTTGTCACAAGTTTGGAACAAGCTGTCAACAACTTGTAACAACCTTGTTGATATTATCAGACTTGTTGCAAGGTCGTTGTAACAATATTGTTACAACCTTGCGTCGTCAACTTTGTAACATTCTTGTTATATCATGACTGCATCAAACTTGTTAGAACAACCTTGTAACAAGTCTGATAATGCCATCAAGCTTGTTACAAGTTGGAAACAGCTTGTTCCAAACATGTTCCAACAACTAGGAACAAGCAGTGCGAACATATGACTTGTCGACAGCTTGTGAACAGATTTGGAACAACTTGTTAGCAGACTTGTAACAACTTGTGCATTTTTACGTATGCAGCTTTAATACACCCGTTAAAACTGCCCATCTGCCCAAGCCTAAAGGCAACCTCGTACCCAGGCTATTTTCTCTTATACTCGGTGCACGGCCACCTAAAGGCTGCATTCCAGTTACGCATTTTTCATACGTGCGTACACGCACGTAAAAGTTGAATTCGCTTTACATCCTACTTATGAAATAACTAAATTTATAAAAGGACAGCATTCAGTTTTGTGTATGATTTAATGTGTATTTGTTAAGGTTATTTGCACTTATATGAAATTTGAAGCGAATTCAACTTTTACGTGCGTGTACGCACGTATGAAAAACGCGTAACTGGAATGCAGCCTTAAAGGTAAAACAAAGTATTTATTCTTGTGCCAAATATTATATTCTTTATTAAATATCATACATTATTTTCATTCATTGCTAGCGTAATTATCAATTGGATATTCGTTTGGATATTTGCTAACATGCGCAGAACATTCTTCGTATTGTTCGGCTAAGTGTCGTGGCATTTCGTCGTAAACGTCCGTAAACAGATCTTTCATCGGCGGTTTGACGGCTTTCTCAGCCCGCCCAAAGGCCTGCATAACCTGCAGGCGGGCATCTCGCTTCCATTTTTCCTCCTGCTCATCGTCCCACCATTCTTTCGAGACCATGTAACGTCTGAATGATTTAAAAGGCAAAGTCATTATAAAAATTTTAGTAAGTTGTAGTTCAGATTAGAAAATTTAAAATATGCATATCAAATGTAACCAACTGTTCAATCTTTTATACTTTACATCCATGTGTTTGACTAATTTCTTAATACGTGCATAATTTGTTCCATGGGTGAAGCATAATGAAGAATGATACATTTAGATAATCTGAATGCAAGTGGAAAATTTTAGAAAACTAATTGTTCTTCGAAACTTTATCCGTATACAGCCAATTCAAAAAAGGTTGTCCTTTGCAAACTTTAAACTCTAAATCTTAAACTCTAAGCGCGCAAACTTAATGGGAGCACAAGTTTGAAGCTTAGTAGTTGAATTTTGCAGCTAAATGTGAATGAATTGTTCTCGTAAGGAGATACAGCAATTTTCGTCCAAGCACAAACCGCAAACATTTTCGCGCGTTTGTTTACGTTTGAAACATGGCGTTTACCGTTGGAAACGGACATGTTTCACCGCTCATGTGACGTGTTATTGTGAAAAGCGTAATTCAGTTATTTTTCATGTTTTGATGTGCTTTCGTGTACTTTTCAGTATTTCCAAGCTCACGATATTGTAAGAGCGACCAAACTTGTTTATATTCATACTTTTTGTGACTAAAACGTATTATCATGGGCTTGGAAATATTGAAACGTGCACGGAGGCACATCAAAACATGATAGTTGCGCCAAAAATAGCTTAAGGCTTTTCAATGTGACACGTCACATGAGCGGTGAAACATTTCAGTTTCCAACGGTAAACGCCCCGTTTCAAACGTAAGCAAACGCGCGAAAATGTTTGCGGTTTGTGCTTGGACGAAAATGGCTGTATTTACCATGTCTCTAAGAAATGGGCCACATATATGATTTCTAAACTGATTAAATGATGCTCCCATTATGCTTTGCACACTTAAAATTTAAGGTTTAAGGTTTAAGGTTTAGAGTTTACGGTTTGCAAAGGACAGCCTTTTTTGAATCAGCTGCATTAACCAAATTGCATTTCTATTGTGGTTGTATGGAAAACACAAATGAGTGATTGAACAGTTGAATACTTTGTAACTTTGATGTGCATATTTTAAATCTTCCAAGTGTCAGATTGTAAAGATTCAAACTGAAACTTTATCCCGACTTACAGGTAGAAGGGAACTGGCCTTAGTTATTACTTATGCGTAAGACACAAAAGACACAAACCTTAATCTAGCAATAGGATGGTCAAGTTTATCCCAGTAACTGACTTCATCTTTTGAGCGATATGCCGTCGAATCATCACTTGTGCTGTGATGGCCAATTCTAAAGTGAAATGATAGTCGTTTGTACGTCTTCATTATTAAATGATTTTTTCTTTCGTCATGCAGATAAGGAGCGTAATCATACACACTGATTGGATTTGAAGTCAAATCACTTGCTACAATTACTTTTTGGATGTCCCAACTCGACATCGACAGCGCGTCATTGAGACAGTCAGTTAGAATGGTAAGTGACAAACAAGGGAAAAAATTTAAAATTTCCATTAATGGGTTTTTGTATGCTTTCTAAAGATTTACCATGTACACTATCAATGTACAAACTAAACTCTTAATTACCATATTGGTCCAACAGTTAGACAACACCAACGTGCCATCATATTATAGATTTCCCATATGGTAAATTGGTAAAAAACATGATGTTAATTAATATTTACCATTAATGGTACTTTCCTGTGCACAGGAAAAAAAATACTATCAATGGTAAAATTAAACATCATGGTTTTTACTAATTTACCATATGGGAAATCTATAATAACCAATAATGGTAAGAGTTCGGTTTTTACATTCAAAAATCGAAAGTATGCGGTGTTCGCAATAGAAGCCGGCACCCGGCGAATTTCGACGCCTATGACGTAGAAAGTCGCCGGCTGTTTCTTGAATTTATTTCCTCCCTACCATAGAAATGACAAGAGAAAGGTTTCATGCTCTTAAAACATCATAAACTTTACACGATATGTCGATATTATGCCTAAGTTTCAGAGTCTTCACAGGTACTGGAAACGACGTTAGACCCCTAGATTGGCAGTACCTTCGGCACCTTAAAGCCACCTACTTCTTTCGGAAAGCTCCTACTCTAAATTATATTGGGTATACCTGTATGTCATAGCTTCAATCAAAGCAGGTTTAGACTCCCGTACAGCATATTCTCTGGCTGCCTTAGTAGCATTGTGAACGGCAAATAGATCATTTCCATCCACCCTTATTGAGCGTATACCATAACCACGGCCACGTCCGGCTAGCGAAAAAAATAGTGGTTAATGCATGAGCCTTTCATCTCCGTAACCGAGGTGTGATTCCTGCAAGACGCAGTTGTCTGTTTATAATTTCACTTCAATCGTATGCGAGATAGCTTTCTATGCACATATATACTCTCGCCCAATTAATGATGGTCCTTCCTGAACCTCTAGGGCCGGAGAACAGTTTGGAACTGATAAAACTATCAAGTATAGATGAAGTTAGTTTAGTTAAGATCCACCGCGCCTACCTATTCCGTCCCCTCGATATTGTTCTGACGAAGGCGTTGAAATTGCATAACCATTGTTTCGACTGTAAAAAAAACTTTGAATAAATAATTGACCACTATTTCGTTATGAAAGATGATGAGATCAAAAGATGACTTTATAAGTCGTAGTAGATCAGCGGGTCGTAGATATTGGAAAGCAAGGATGAAATTGTATGGACACATAATAAGAAGATATGATGGACAGCCAGTCAGAGACATTATGGGATGAAGACATCACTCATCAGAAGATGTGGGTGGTAGACTTTACCAAGATGAGAAGAGCAAGGCGACGAAAACATGGACACGTAATAAGAAGAGATGAAGGAGAGCTGGTCAGAAACACCATAGATTGAAGAGATCAGAAGATGTGTGGTGGGAGACATTGCAAAGATGAGAATGGCATGGCTATATGATAATATGGATATGTAATAAGACGAAATGAAGGAAAGCCATTCAGAATTGAAAACATCAGTGGAACATGTGGAGATGTGAGAAGGTTTGAGATAGTATAGATACATTATAAGTGGAGATGAAGAGGTACAAAAAATGGAGGAGACTGAAGTCAAGATTGGTACGCCAGCTCAGCAAAAGAAACTTAAAAGGTGGACATGATTTAGGTCAGGAAAGGATAGCGAGAATCTGAGCAGCTGATACTAGGCCAGTTTGTGACCAGAGTTAGACAAGAGAAGAATTTGTTGGCCACCAATTTATTGAAAATTCTCAAAAAATTTCCAACAGCAGTTCTCACCATATGAACAAAACTGGAACTTCCAGGGTTGCTGAGAAGTTAAATGCAGCATGTGCATCGCCTTCACTTGCTGCACCCTCTCCGAAATAACACGCCACACAAAGAGGCTTGCCTGAACGTTTTATGGCATATGCTGCACCTGGAGCTAAAAATAATGAGTTTTCTTTATTAGTTACTAATTTTTACAAAACTTCAGCTAATGCTTGGTTGCATTAATGCTTCCTGTTCTCACTTCTTGACTTTCCATAGTATTGGTCCAGTTGACAAAGGCATACAATAGAATAAATACAAAGTAATATTATATACCTTGCGGCATTTGTGTAGCTAGAGTTGACGATATTGTAACAAAATTAAGTTTCTTTGAGCCATAATGCACTGGCATTTGCCTTCCCTTTCCTCTGTCCAATTCAGTGGCAAAGCATTGGTTCATACAGTCGTCCAATGTGAAACCACGCCATAGCAAGACACCAGCTTCACGATACTGGCCGTATATAAGATCCTCTGGGTCAAGGGCAGTTGCTGTGCCAAAGTGGGCTGCCTCTTCACCATAATTCGTCATGTAAAATGAGATTCTTCCCTAGAAAGTTAACCCATTGATGCCTGAGGACCCCTTAATGAGCAGGAATAGAATTTTCTACAGCCATAAGACAGAAAATTCATCTGGCAGAAAACTGAGTACCTACCTGTCTCTGTGACTCATATAAAACTCTGTCCATGGTACTTAATAATGTCATTTTCCTATAGACCTTCTCAATGATCTCTCTGCTCAACTGTGGAACAAATATAACATGATACAATTGCTATTAGCTAAGTTTAGTACTGAATTTCATGGAATGGTTTATAATAGTTGATATGTTCATAATCATTGCTGTTGTTCTGTTAAAATCCATGGTCATCCATGCTGCCTGTTGAAATATGAATTCACAAGATTTGTACACAGTGAAGTTGTTTTATAAAATCATTGCTCATTATAGATCCTTTGAACTTTGTCTTTGCATAGTTTCAAGGCCGATATCTCGATGGACTATGATATATAGAATAACCCTTCTGGATAGTATGTCACTTTGGCTATATAGGGTCTCGTTTTTGAGTATGTGACACTAATTAATTAAAGCCCAACGTCTCAATCATTAAAACGAGGCTCTATAGCCATTAGCCAAGGTGACAAACTTTCCGGAAAGGTGTATATTAACTCTTGAACAAATTAAAGCATTCAATATTCAACTACCATACCGTAGGTTCATTTTCTTTATCTGTGATCTCACCCTTACGGTTCATTACTCGATAAACAGGAATATGGCCTTCCTCTTCTGCATTGACAAACTCTAACTTGTCCGTGAACTTTGACTTTAAGCCAGGAAAATGAGGAACGTCATCATCTGCGTCCAATGATGCTGACCCTTCAATTGAGGTACTTGAGAAATACTGTTGAATGGAATTACCATTTTATTACATTATTTCATTACATAATTTGGGTGGTGTTTGGAAGAGTATCAGCCCTACAGAGATGAGGGTACACTTTCTCTCTTTTTACACAGGTGGTGGTGGGGGGGAGGAGTGGGTGGTATATTTGGAGGGTTTTAATAGGCGAAGGTACCCCAGTGTTGAAAGTTTGTTTCGCGTGACTGAAATATCAGGCATGCAATTTTGACGCTTTCTATATATTCACTATTAAATTTTCGAAATCTCGGGTGTGCACTTTCCAAACGTCAGGATTTAATATAGGTAACCATCTTAGAAAATGGCAGTTTAGCAACAAAAAGTTCTAGAACTTTGATCTCACTACACAAGAAGCATAATATAAATTGAACACAACATATTGAACACAACATATGGAACACAACTTTTCATTATGACTATATATAAAAAATGTATTTGTGTTTTGTAATAATTTATTATAATTTATTTATATACGTATAATATTTACAAACTAAACAATGAATTTTTGAAATCTAACTTTATAAGTAACAACAAGTATTTTAATTTTAGTTCTAACCTTCGATCCCGCAAAAAGAAACTGTTTATAACCCCTAGTTAGCTGTGTTCTAAACAGAATATTCCGCACCAAGTACGCCATGTTTTCTTTATATAATATAACCTCGCCACTATATTTCGACTAACACGACGTATATGGCAGTACAAAGTTGAAATTCAATATGGCCGCCGCTAGTTCCCAAAATTCAGTAAACTTGCGATCTTTGAGCTGTGAATTGGGCCTTTTAAATAAAACAGATGGTTCTGCTCTTTTTTCTCATGGTATGTATATAGTGATAGTTAATCATGTTACGGCAATGACGTACTGTAAGCCCCTCCTTTTTAGCGTTAAGAAGAATAAAATATTTAAATTAATTTATTAACACGATATTACTATTAATAATAACAAGGGAACACATGTGTGTTGGCATGGAAGTTTACATTAATTAACTGCATTTATTTCAATATACCCCCTTCTGGCTATTTAACCCCCCCCCCTTTCTGCCCAACCCCTCCAATAACAGTATTAACAGAGCAGTCAGAGCCCCCCCCCCAAGGTGCATCTAACCCCTGGGGGCTGGAATTGGTTTAATGGGTGATGTATGGTATAAGCCCATGAACCTAAATAGATGGGAGGTGAATATGGATTTTTACATGTTTGGAGCTTTGTGACGACATATATAATGATATGATTTATACATGATTACCCGAAGGTAATACATCAATGATGGTTGGTGTGTATGGTCCAGCAGAAGTGAGGCTAAATAAAGAAATTGTTGACAAAGCAACGGTAGAAGTTGTGTTTCGACCTAAAACAGGAATTCCAGGTAAATTGCTACAAACCTTTCCAGGGAAGGAAATCTTCAAACCCTTCATGCGAGTGACAGAACAAATATAACCAGTAATGTAAAATCTTATTCTATGTTAGGTTAGAAATTAAAAAAACAACAACTTGGTTAGCGTCACCGCCCGCCTCTCCATTTCTGTTGCCTCTGAATTTTTTTTTATGTAAATCTCTTCATTTTACAGCTTAAAACAGTTTAATATTTGAAATCTCATGCTCAGAAGTTTGCGCTATACACTGATCGATACGAGCATGTGGTCTTGGGTATACAAGGTTCTTATAATAGCAAAATGGCTGTCTTCACAACATCAGTACAAAAAATATCACTGATATGGTGGAAAAACCGCTCCCATCATCACTATTAAAAATTAAAAAACGAGTAAAAATTTAAAAAACCCTGCCTGCCCGCCTCTGAAAATTTGTGAGAGTGTGACACTGACCAAGTATCTTTTTTTTTATTTGGCCTTATTAGGATGCGCAGAAAAGGCAATGGAAAGATTGATAAGGAACACTTGTGACTCCACCATACTAACAACAATGCACCCTCGATCTGCCATGACAATTGTATTACAAGAAGTTTGTAATGATGGATCTGTATCCTTGAATATTTAACAAATAGATGTTTTGGCTTGCAAGCTAGCCACTGGAGCAAGTGTTCTTTAGAAGATGGATGGTCTTGACAGGGGCTGAATGAACTCAGATGATATAACTTATTATGTACTATTTAAAACACGCATAGGAGTGTTAAATTTAAAACACGACTACAAGTGTTTGAATAGCTGCAAACACAACGTTCTACAATAGATGCCTTCTCATTACTACCGTATATTCTTTATATAAAGAATACTAATTAGGATGGCTAAAGAATACTAATGAAGATGAGTTTTATCAGGCATAAACCCTCTTCACATGACAAATTATAGTTGACATGATTTTCCAATAAGCTTATGAATTTTATTAATTTAATGAGTGTTTGAAATATATTTAAATTGTATATAATTCTTGACCAACGTATCAGTTAGTATCATGTTGCATTAATGGTGCATGTATGGCAATGTTGAATGCTGGATTTCCAATGAAGTATTTGGTGGCAGCAATAACAGCAGCCATTCTTAGCGATGGTACAATATGCACAGATCCAACAGCCAAACAAGAAGAGGTAGAAAATTTTGCCACTTTACCAACTCTACAACTTGGTCAATGCTATATTAAACAGACGTTTTATAGTTTATAGCCCTATCAACCTAATACAATTCTTTCTAGAGACCCAGCAAGGGTTATTGTTTATTTATCCAAATCAGAGCAGATAGAAGCAAATTCATGGTTGAGCCCTCTTCTCAAATATGCCTGAAGTGGTGGCAGGCAGTTGAAGTTGCACTCCTTCTATTGTTATTCATTTACGTGTTCTGTTCAAATGTTCGTTGTAAATATAGGAAGCAACAGCTATATTGACATTTTCTTTTGAATCTGTGAACAAAGAAGTTGTTCTTTCAAGCAGCAAGGGAATGTTCACAGTTGAGCAGGTAATGCACATTATTTTGTGTGTTATTAAGTGTTTACTTTTTCTGTCATTTGCATCTAAAGATGAACTGTGGCAGACTATAATATTGTAACAAGCTTTTCAATATTTCAAATATTTGAGTCAGTCTGGCTAAATGACATATTTAGTTAGCAAATCAACTCATTGAGTGTCAGTGCTCTCCCCTTGACATGTCTGGTGTTAGACAGAGTAAAATAATTATAATAAAAGTAGACTGCATTAGGGCACAATGCAATTTAATGGGTCAATTGGATACATGGGTGGATACTAGAGGTGTGCATCGGATTGGACATTTATAATCCGACAATTGGCTGTTTAAAATCCGATCCGAAATTGTCTAATCCGAATCCGATCTGAGTTTTGATAAAGAATTCCGATCCGATCTGAAGAATCCTTTAATAAAATAAATTTCTCATTCAAGTGGAAATATTTAAAATTAACCAAAGAATAATTATTATATGTAATTAATTCATTTTATTTGGAATATCGAAGTCCAATCTGATCCGATCCGACTACGAAACAACTTTATCAATCCGATCCAATCCGAAATGAATATTTTAATCTGTTCCAATATCCGAACGAATCCGATCGGATTTGCACACCTCTAGTGGATACACCTTGACAAGTAAAATAGCCTGGCATTAGACAGAATATTAATGGATTAAAGCCTGTCAAATGGAATAGTGTTGGGTGGTAACAGGTCAATGCACTTTAATTTCAGTATGAAACTTGCTTACTGGTGTCTTGTGATTGTGCTCAGAAAATATTCAATTTCTACAAAACCTCTATAACAAGGGTATTGTCAAAGGTATGCATTCATTCTCCCTTTGGTATCATAGTTTACACTAACCAGAAGATTTACAATGTTAACTGGATGTTTTGCCTTTGCAGGATGTAAAATTTATGGATTTAAACATTGCAAAAAAGTCAAAAGAGGTGGAGTAAGATAAGAGTCCTAATTGGAGATGTAATGTGAATTTGGTGAACTATTGGATCAAATACAAGACTCGATCTGAAGTTCAGAACAAAGCTCCTCATCAGGCATCTTGTGGTTGCAGTGTTAACTAGTGTGTGGCCATGCCAGCAGTGACACAAACCGGCTGCAGGGGAGCAATACCAAAATTAGAAGAGGCTATATAATATATATCCACCGGTACTCAGAAATATATGGCAGGGCAGTAAATCCAGTCATTAAATCATCCATTTGAAAGGTTAAAGTGAGCATAACTATATAAAATGATTCTATATGTAGTCCAATTGCATCACATATGCTAATCCTTTGTCTGTATGATGGACATGCTAATCCTTTGTCTGCATGGACCAATAATCCTATATGAATAAATATCTAGATGCATGAATCAGTGAGATAATATTGGTCAGAATTCATAGATGCATATAAACAAATTTTATTTATTCTCATGAACTTTAGGAATATTAAAAAACACAAATCCTAGTAGTTTCCTGTACAAACTATTATGCAACTAGCTTACTTACTGTATATTAGTATAATAGTATAAGGCACCTGTTTAGCTAACTTTTATATATTATACTTAGGTATATCTGAACTAAGATTCTCAAATATTGACATTTAGCCTAATTGAAAATCTGACCATGTACATCACAGAGCACCAATTGTTTTTTCACGTAGTACTAGTGGCCTTTAATATGACCAACTGGTTGTTTTGCAAAGTTCCATTCTTAGCAAAAGTTTCATTCCGTCAAGTAGAAGTACTGGGCTATAGTTATAATACCATTAGTCATGCTGTTGACAAAGTTCCAACTGTGCATCTTTCATATAAATACCCCTTCAATATTTAGACATATATTAAAAAGTTAAAATTAAATAAGCCAATTCAGAGTTGAACATCCAAATTACGTATTCTGCGCAGGGCAAATTGCAATTGAACTATATAACTTAGCCAAGCTGAGATGTACTGGAAGAATTATAATTAGTATGCATCTATTCAAGCAATTATTCAACTGTTCAATCATCATTTGAACAGCTGAACATTTGCACATTTTAATGTTTCTAGTCTCAGCTACATGTTATCAACTGTAATTTGTCCTGATGCAGGGATGCTTCATTCAAACTCTGAATTGGCCTTATTTACTAATGAGCAATAATAGTCCAGTGTTCAACTAGCCATTTCATCAGATTTTCCAATATCCAGTACAGAACATCGAATGCTTCCTCCAGCCAATAGGAACTGTTGGTATGGTGTCTCAATCACCTTGTACCCAAAGTTGGTCAATTTGTCTTTAAGTATGTCACTGAACTTGTTTCCAACAATAATATGTTCTCCACTTTCCTCAAAATTTACAGAATTGCATGCAAAATCCATTGCATCTTCTTTCCCGATTGCAATAGTCTTATCTCCTCCAACATCCAGGATTTTTTCCTCAGATTCTTTGTCAAATGCACCAGGGTAGTACATCAGGTGTCCATGGGTTAGACTCATCAGTGCTGTGTCAATATGGTAGAAATATGGATCCATTAATTTCATGTGATGAAGCCGATCTTTTGGTAGTGACAGAACATCCTTCAGGTAGGCATAGGCTTTAAATGAGCTACGGAATCCATAGGCCACGAAAAAGTTCTCCCCGTTGTGCGTGGGCATAAAATCACCACAGCCTTCTATCTCGACTCCGTCATCAATTGGGTTTATAACCTCGAAGCCTCGCTCTTTGAAAAACGGAATATGGTAATGTGTTTCCGGTTGACGGGGCACTGCTCCAAAACTGGAAACCACTGCTTTGTTACCGTGAACGATCCCTGCGTTTGCAGTGAAAACCATATCAGGAAGATCAGGGTGAGGTTCCAAAAGGTCAACTTTGATATTATTTGCAAGCAAGGTTTTATATGCATTTTCCCATTGTGTTAAAGCAAGATTCTTTTTTACTGCAATCCTCATATCCATGTGAGCGTTAAGAAAACGATGTCGGACGTCAAAAAACTTTGGTCGACACATCATTACAGTCTTGTACCAAGGTGCCATTGATATTTTTGAAAAGTTGCTTGCAACTTTTAAGGCTGCCATACTTGAGCTGAAAATATTGAAAATAAATTCACTAATTTATATAGGCACAGATAAAAATAAGTAGGGTGATGGAGTTGTGGTTTTATAAGTATGAAATTTAATAACTGAGTGCATTATGCTTTGATTGACATGTTTCTATAACCAATAGACCTTTACCCTTTTGAGTGAAATTTTGATCTAGACAAGTCTGGACAAAAATTTCATCACAGCTTGAAAGAGCATCACAAAATTAGTAATATTCCGAAGTTTCGTTGCGAAATGTTGTAAAATGCGGATAATATAGCCTTGCGAAGTTTACCGTTTTTCAGTCATTTTGTATTACAAATGGGAAATTGATAATCAGTTTGATCATCATATCTGCTGATTACTGTATCAATTTCCCGTTTGTAATGCAAAATGACTGAAAAACGGCAAACTTCGCAAGGCTATATTATCCGCATTTTACAACATTTCGCAACGAAACTTCGGAATATTACTAATTTTGTGATGCTCTTTCAATCTGTGGGGAAATTTTTGTCTAGACTTGTTGAGATCAAAATTTCACTCACAAGGGGAAATGTCTATTATATTCCCTTTGATTTGTTGAAGAGATATCAATGAAGCGAGCTTTTTTTCTTCTTTTTTTTTTAAATTAATTTGGTAAATGGGGATCGGACGAGACTGGAAAAGTCCTTCGTAGTTTGAAAGTCTAACTAACGTTATTAATTTATATTGTTTCATAAACGTTTCATAAACACAAAAAAATTCTATAAAATTAGTGTGTCGAATATCGAGAATATTTTCATCGTATTCTAAATTCGCACAAAGTTACAATTTAATAATACGCATTTTGAAACATATACATACACGTCACATCATGTTTACGTAACTGTAGCTATAGCCTATATAAACTTTTGAACAGTCGGTTTAATGAATCAATGTTTAATTAAAAAAAGAGTCAACAAAGAAGATTCTTTCATATTTTATTTATAGGAGGCCTCTTCATAGACCTTGTTGAAAAATGTAAAAAATACGACGATTTGTCGAGCAAAATGCGAACATATAAATTGGGCCATTCATCGACACACTGAGTGAGCGAACACAACCAAACAACAGAAAATCACTTTTACTAGTAAGTTTTCCTATTAAAACAGAATATAAAGGACTTACCGGCAATAAGCAAAAATGTAGTATTCGTTTATATCTGAACTAAAGTTAGCACTTCGACTCGAAGCCAACTTTGAAGCGTGTATAAAATTTGGCTTACGTAACGGTCGGCTTTGTCAGGGCTGCCACTCTCCGTTCCCTATTTCCACCTATGGCGGGCACTGAAATCCCCTACGTTTCCCCTACAGCACGATATGCAATTGTCCCCAATGTTCGCCTACGTTCCCCTACAAATATTGTATTTTCTCTACTAATATTGTATATTTGAGGGAAAAAACACTGGGCTGTATAATAACTGGAGGACCTGCTCCTATACTTACTACACAATAGAGAGTTAAGCTTCACGTTCAACGACTAACGTCAGGCAAAGAAAAATTCTACGATAAAAAGCGATAAAAAGTAAATGGGCTTGTTGTTTCATATGAAGGAAAATATGACACGTAGAAATCGAACGACTTTATGCCAAGAAAAGTCGGCCTTGCCGTTTGGCGCTCCCGCAAACGTGAAGCTCAAACTCCCTATTACTCTAAAACCCGAGCAAAATTGCAAAAACCTAAAGTTTTTTCAAATAACCAGGGGGTGTGGAAATTGTAGCGGGCTCAAATCCGAGCCTGGTCAGTGGTGAGAATTACGGACCAGTTGTCATGGAAATGCCGTCAGCAAAGGCCAAAATCCGCCATGTTTTTGGCTGCACTTTTTTTCGCGTGGAGGTTCTCCTGGGAAAATACAATATCACTCATCACCATACTCATCACATGATATTTCAGTGCTTCCACATTCAAATTTAAATTTCTGGTTTCCATAAAAAATCCTGCAGTTCCATACAATCACAGAATAAGAAGTTATACCAGAAGCGTAACTCTAGTCGTTTCCCTTATTGTTTGACGTCCACGAAAATTTTTAACTCGCTCACGTCAGGCCACGCCATCCTGGCTAGTACAGCCGGAAGTTTTTATCAGGATTTGGTAGGTACAAAGTGCCGGTTGTACTAGCCAGGATGGCGTGATTGATGACGAATCGCTTGTAAAAATGAGGACAAACATTTGCTCGAGTTACGCTTCTGGTATAATTTCCTATTCTGTGATACAATGTTCCATACTCCATAGAAGCCATGAAATATTGAAATTTACGGAAGAACTGATTTGGATAATCACAAAAAGAGAAATACGACTTTTGTAGGTAAACTGTAAAAGAAACCCCCTACGTTCCCCTACAAATTACCACTTTCCCCGTAGGTATCCCCTACTCCCTACAAGAGGTGATAATCCCCTACCGTAGGGGAATCCCCCTACGAGTGGCAGCCTTGGGCTTTGTTGTTGTAAACTGTGGTTGTTCCTGTGGGCGTGTAGGGGGGCGGTCACAAAGTATGACGAAATTCCTGTTTTTGCAATTCAACAATGAGGGGGGGCAAGGGGAGGTCTCGTCACGAAATCACGAAGATCATTTTCAGATTTCACGAGTCACGAAAAGCAAAATTTCATTTTCACGAGTTTTAGAAACACCTGAGAAGCGTAACAAAGTCTGAAACCATTTAACGATTTTCTAGACAGCAGAAATCGATGTTACAGTGAAAATACAAAAAGTGTCCCACTTCCGCTTCTGTAGTTTGTTGTGATTTACTGTAATTTGTTCTGTTTTTTTGTAGCGATTACCGATTTATCGGCAAATACCGTGATAAAACTTAGTTTTCTCTACTTTTTAAATATGATAATTTGTAGCAAAGGGAAATAATCCATTTTTCGTTAGTTTCATTGCATAAAAGGTACGAAATTTAAATTTTATCGCAGTATTTGCCGATAAATTTGTAATCGCTACAGAAAAACAGAACAAATTACAGTACAGTAAATCACAACAAATTACAGAAGCGGAAGTGGGACACTTTTTGTATTTTCATTTTTCACTGTAGCACAAACACATCAGTTACTGAATCATTGCGAGGCATTACGAAACATTACGAGCGTCTTACGATCGTTCACGAAGTCTACGAAGAGGTACGAAGGCATACGACAACGACGTTTACGATGAAACGAAGAAACCAACCTCGTTCCCAGGAACGAGGTTGCGAAGAAACCTCAAGAAAGTTACTGAAGATAACCGCGGAAAGCAAATTTATTCATTTTTTTATTAATTAAACCTTAATATTAAATCTGGGCCGAGTTTTAAACGTAAACATTCACAAGTTAGGGTAAAATATTGGTAAATTCAAGACCGTAGCTAGCCCTTTTAGCTCTTCACGATTCACGGCACGCATATTAATCACGATTCACGGAATGGTATTTCTTCAAATCACGAAGCACTAAGGGACCGGTCATTATTTATGGCGGGGGGTGGCACCGAAGAGAAATGTTTTTCGTGGCAAAAATTTTGCTGACCCAACCATTAAAAAATCAAAAACTTGATTACCCAACCTCAAGTATCATTTAAAAAATAAATACCCACCCCTGGCCAAAAACATTACAAAAGGATGTCATTCAGTTGTCACACATGTCCTTTACCACTTCTGTGATACGAGTTTAATAACGTTCGGCTTGTGAAATTTACTGACTTTTCTGCAGTCTAAAGTTTCATGTTGTCTGCACATTTACTTTCTTTGGAGACACCATTTGTCTCTCAATAAATCGGAAAATGATGAAGATAGTGACTCTGATTGATTCACATATTGTATTGACAGATGACTGTTGACATTGAAGTTTTCAGTCTTCAATATTTGAGTGAGTCATGCTTTGGAAATGACAATAAATTTCTATTACCCAACCTTTGAGTTGTTTCGTTTTTCATTTACCCAACCTTTTACTCACTCAAAATTTTGTTTACCCAACCCTTTTCTCTTCGGTGCCACCCCCCCGCCATAAATAATGACCGGTCCCTAATAGTTGCTAATCACGAGTCACGAAAATACCCACTTACCCTCATCAATTTTGAGTTTCCCTGCGCCTGTTTACACGGGAGATCGCGTTTGAAAATAATCCAGTATTTCAACTTTCCATGTACTCCATTTCTTTCATTGTAAGCAATTTTTTTGCTGATTAATGCCATTGAGTTGCTTGACGCATTCATCGTGTGGGCGGAAAGGGGGTGTAATTAAAGGGTGTATGCGCGCGAAGCTAAGAAAGCGCAGTCAATACTCGATAGACCCACTGCCCTATATCTATTCTGTGCCACTGCACTGACGTCACAAATCCTTAGAGTCTCCAGTGTGTCAGATGCTTCCTAACAATATCTGTTTGGGTACAACAACCACATACAGCGCAAAAATTAACAATTTAAATACAAAATTATTATAAAGTTTTACAAAAATTGCTTTGTTTTACAAAAGTTATATTAATTTATATGCATAGATTGCTAATTTGTCCTCCATATGCATGGTTAGCATTATTTTCCATCCAGCAAACTGACCTGACGTCATTTTCGGAAGATAGAAGAGGTGTTAAATGGCTATGTAACTAACCCAAACCCTACCCAACCGCAACTCTAACCCTAACCCAATTAATAAAAAAATCGACTTTAGAAAATCGATAGGGCGGTTTGCTGGATGGAAAAGTGCTAACCCAGATTTGCATCAGCACTGGCGCTATGACGTCATGTGCAATGGGTCTATTTACTCTTTCAAAAACTTTGTAAAACAATTTTAATTGCTACTATGCTTATGGCCAAAGTAACACACTTTCCGGAAGAAGGGTGTATTACTTGATTACTATTGATGCCAAAGAACACTTTTCCCTTCACAAATAAATCATCTGGCATTAGATGGAG